TGCTCTAGTAGAGTAGTTCAAGCTCTGCTTTAAATCGAGCTGGGTGGGGGGTAGAACTGCAGGAATGATCTCTGGCTGCTGAAGTAGACCAAAACCGGGTGTCCACGGGGACCCCCTGTGACTGCAGAGGGTCTCCTGTGCACGCTAAGCTCTGCAGCCAGTTGGGAGCAGTCATGGGTGGCTGGTGCTGGTGGAGTAACCAGAACCCCGTGCAGATACCCTCACCCAGGAGGGACTGCTGTGACTCAAACTCATTTCCGCTGCGTCAGCACAAACACGACCTTTGGGTAATACCCCGAGCCGCATGCTCTTTCCTCTTTGTCAGGTTGTGTTTGTCTCCCTGGATCATGCCAACCTGAGCAGAACGCGTTCGGTTTTCTGATGCTGGTTTTGAAATCCAGCAGATAAGGGAGGAGAGCAAATAAGGCAAAACGCTATCCAGCGTAAAGTCTGTCTGCCACTGTTAATATTTTAGGGGTGCTAATCTTGAATTTTCAACCTGTGTGTTCATACCAGATTGTTGGAGGAGGTAACTTTTTTCTTTACTTAGAAGAATTTTCATCTGTCTCATTTCCTTATGAGACTGGTGATGAGGAGGTGGAAAAACAAATTAAATGCTCTATAACACAAGTATTATTACCTCTGCTTTTGGTATATATTCTGTGTTCATAATTGCTATGTAATCCAGGCCCTGATTTTCTGACAGTGTAGAATAAAGTTAAGACCATAAACTCAGGTAACTTGTAATTACGCTGATCGGAATGCTTGTAGGAATATCTCAGGTTTTGGTTTTAAAACATGCGAGAGAGGGGGCGGTGGGTTGTTGAAGTAGCTCTGTCCACCATGAATTGACTTCTTGTGCAGTCGGTGTAGTACATCAATCCAAGACTTTCTGCCAAATGTATTTGCAGATTATTTCTGTATAATTTCTCTTTGAATATCATAATACTGTGCTTTCTATAATAATAATAAAAACCTAAATTTTTTGCCTTTTTTACTGTCATCATTATTAAGCTAAAATATATGAAGTAATGCTTAATTATTGCATGCTACTAGTCCTATATGTAGAGAAGTCATGCACGGAGGGCTTTTTTGGCATTGGTTGTGCCCTCATGTTACCAGCTTGGAGGCAATAGCCAGTGCTACTTTGACCACACACACCATCAGATTTAACTACTGCAACACTGGCTAGCTCGGGTAAGGATCCTAGCTGCAAAGACAAATTGGGGTGGCTTTCATCCTTGTTTGGGTTTTGAGGGTTTTTTTGAAGCATGAACTTTCCTATGCCGTCGCTGTTTGGATCGCTTAGCGTGGCCGTATCTTCAGACCAAGTGGGTCAAACTGGGGCTAGGCTGGGAGGTTCGTAGCACGTACAAACTGGACACG